CAGGCCCAGCAGCCCTGAATGGGGCTGGTGGCAAGGAAGGCTCTCCCTGTTCTTATACAAACAAAGTGCAGTGGCTGGCAGCCAAACACTAACTCACATCCACTGAGCATGCCCAAGTGACAGTCTGTCAGAGGCTTATAGCTCTGCCAAATCTACATTTGTTTTCATGAGGACAGCAGAATGCATCTCTAAACTCAGAGCAACACCCCATGAAATGTCATTTCTTGCTCCAATTCATGGACAATTAGAGTTATTCACTGAATTATTTGGACTTTGGACTCCACTCCGTAGGAACAAAACAAGGTGTATGGACAAAACAAGGGTATAGAAGTATATTCTGAGAAATAGAAAATTTTTCCCTATGAATTTGAAAAAAAAAAATAGCCTGGCCAGACAGTTACCATAGAAGATTTCAGTCAGATCAGTTAAAATTTGGCAAAAGTCCAAAGTGACTAAATGCAGAACCTGGTTATTGAAAAAGTTAGGCCTTTTGAAGTGCTTGTGCCAGCTCTTCATTATGAGCTGGAAGAAGGATGGAATAGTATTTTAATCACATGTACTGTCTGTTAAACTGGAAAGCTCTTAACGGTGATCCAATCTAAAAGGACTTAAGAGGTTTACTTACCTTGGGAAAGTTACAGAGAAAATAATATGAAATTCATATTAGAAAAAGCAGACTGCACAATATAAACAAGAAAAATCATTTTGCTGAGCAGACCTGACAAATTACAGCAGACAGCCATTGCACAGGCACTTGCAATGTGACATCTCCTTGATTTCAGGCACTTAGCAGGAGATCCCTGCTTATAAGCCTACTTGTCCTCATTCTAGACATAGCCCATAAAAGAGCAGAAAATAGGGGATGGTTTTTTAGATTTTAGGAAGGATGAATTTTCCTCTTGAATTACGTTTTTCTCTTTGTTGTTTCTACAAGTGTCTAGAGAAATTGTGCTTCATTTTAAGTGCCTAAGTCAGCTGGACTTGGTCACTTAATAGATCGCTTGAACTTTTGAGCTTAAGAGCACCAATCAGAGGTAAGAAGCTAAAGATACATCTTACCTCTTTATACACAGGAAAGTCGCAACCTGTTTTCTCCTTCACAATACATGCCCTATTCAAAGGACCAGTAAATCCAGTGGTCTTCAGGTCATCTGTCCGGTTGTGTGCAGTGCCTGGACAGGAGAGGCTGATAAACTTTGCAGTAGCCAACCTCCAGCTCCTGGGGCACTCAGTGGTGGCCCATTCAGTGCAGACTTCTTCCCCATAACTTAGTGCTGGGCCCACCTGTAAATCATGCAACGTGCTGTAGTGCTTCCTTACTCCCCAAAGAATAAAGGAGAGATTTCTTCAACAGTTGTTGCATCCTTGGGAAAGAGCCAAGCCTCTTTCCCTGTTGAGGGATGATACAGGTCAAAGCTCATTAGCACATATGATAAGCCCACCCACAGAGCCTCTTTGCTGACTAAGCAGCTTCAGTTAACTAAATATGATGCAAATTTGCCACTGGACTACTGCGCGGAGATGAAGGGCAACTTTGGCAGCGCTCTTAACAGTTCCAGCATTTTGAGATTCATTAATCCCTTTTCTGGTGTGTATTTATGCCCCAGGGGGGATTCCTTTCAAATTGAGTCTGCTTTCAGAGCCTTTTCTCTCAGCTTGGCCGTGCTAACAATTCTACATAATTTCTATTTTTATTTTTTTACCTGATGCCTCCTTTGTTCTTTTTTTATGAGGAATAGGCATAATTAAGCTATAACATTATCTTACCTTTTAAATCTCCACTAAAAACACAAATACCTTCTCTTCTTTTGGGCACCATGGCCATTTACTCTATGTTGTTGACCATTTGGTGCTCAATTGACCAGATTTTAATGCTAATTCAACCCTCCCTCTCTAAAATAAGGAAGTAGTTCTTTCCAGATAGTCTTTATAAAACAATGATCAGATATCATTAAAATAATTTTGTAAAGTTTGCATTTTGTTTTAATCACAATGGCTATATTGTTTTATGGCCACTTGGGTAGTGGTTTAATTTTTCTTAGTTTTGAAACCAATGCAAAAATTTATTTAAACAGAGTAAAATCTCAGCTTCTTTCCTCAGAAGGTTTGGAAAGCAACTTTATTAGGAGTTGCTTTAGTCTTTTAAACTTAGATTTCACTCCTGATTGAAAATTTATGTTGAAGTTCTTCATCACAAGCATTCAGGGGTGAGTTGTAAATGCACCAAAAAAAAAAAAAGAAAAAAAAAGAAAAAGAAAAGCTTTAGCCAGGAAATAAGACTTAAGAAGGGCCACTTTAATCAGAATCATTCTTTTCCAGTGAAGAATTCTGAAATTGAGCTGAAGAGGTGATTTTTTTTTTTCCAACACCACACAAAGGCAGTTGGGGTTGTGTGGCCAGTGGATAGAAAAGAGATTCCTCTGTGAGTCACAGAAATCTCCATGTAAACAAAACTAGCTTGTTTGCAAAACCTCTCTCCTGGACCCCCTCTACTTCACAGCTCAGTAAGAAGCTAGGGGGAAAGCCAGTCACCCTTTAATGTAAATAAAAATGAGTGCTGGGTTAGAGAGAGTTCCTTTTATCTCTGCTGGAGTTGTGCATAGAGTATTTCATCCTTTAAGGTGTGTAGTGGAGTTCACTCACGGGAATAAGGAAATCACTATAGCTGGTACCCTTCAACATAAAAAAAAGAGAGTGGCTCATGGATTTAATATTACACCAAGGAAAGGGCTACTTTGATCACCGAGTTTGATCTCTTAACTTGAACTTCAAACATTATCAAATAGTTCAGGAGCTTAGCTGTAAAAGTAAGGTTTCAGCCATTAAAAAAATAAAACAGTAGTTCTCACTGTGATCTGTATTTTCCTGAATTTCAAAAGGATTTACATCTGGGGCTTGTTTTGAATATATCTCTAGTTAAAAGAGGTGCCTTGGAAGTGACTTGTTCCTTCCTCTAGTCTATAGACAATGTTAGTTTTAATAAACAGGAAAAATATTTCTTTTTCTTTTTGAAAAATCATTGTGGTAGTGAATCTATAGCATCTTACTTATGAAGTTAGTCCTCATGATGCTTTTAGGATACTCCAGGTTGAGGCTCTGGTTTCTTTACACCCTGTTATTTCTTTACACTGTGTTATTTCTTTCTTTCTAAACTTTAGCACTTGACATACCAAATATAAAAGTTGCATTTTATTTGACCTTTCCCTCCTCCTTTCCCACGTCCCTACTTTTCTGTTTGGAAAATGTGTTCTTCACTTGACAAGCCAAGTGCAATTCCTTCAGTTTCAAGAGGTACCAAACCACATCTGTCTACTGAGGCAAAAAATATATTTAACAGAGCACAGCTGGAACCCAGATAACTAAAATCAGTCACCCAGACAATCGCTCTGCTTGATCAATGATCCTCCACTATGGTGGCTTCTCTTGTTTGCATCCCTGAAGACAGTACAATGACATTCTTGAAACAGTTCAGGATTTTAACCCGCATTTATTTATTTTTAAACTAAATTTCTTGCTAAATGTGCCCTAAACACTACCTAGATACTCCTTTCAAAGTTTTTTCACCACTAATTTTCCTTTTATTTTGAAACTAATTTCATCCTCATTTCTAAACCACTGAATATATGACAAGGCATTGGTTGCAGTGATGCAACCACAGTGCTAAACCAGAAAGAAAATTCATTCTTCACATTATGTTCAACTATAACAGATACAATCACAATACAGTGCTAATCTGTGCATACCTAGTCTTCCTGCACACCTTCTAGCTGATTGGCTTTCCGCTAGTCATGACTCTTCAGGGCAGGTAGGGTAAAATGTGGGTGTATGGATGGATGGGCCTTACTTTGTAGATTTTATGCAGCTGCTAGCACATTACCTCTGCAAGCCTCCATTTATAAAATCTTGCTGTTGAAACAAGCCTGATTAATGCATGTTGAAATGGGATGGTGTAAAACCCAGGTACCCCTTTTGTCTGTCAGTCCTGCAGGTGTAGAGATGGCTGTTGCATGGACAGTTCCATGCCCTGCAAAGCAAAGCTGCATGCCAGGTCCCAGCCATGCACTGCTCCTTTAGCACCCATCCCCAGCAACAGCCTGTTTCCAATATAAATGATGTCAGAAGTCTCCAGCCAACCACTAAAAATTGAGACTGTCTCAAATTTTAGCACATGCCTAACAGAAGGATCTTGCAAGATCTGACCCTAGGTCACTTTAATCTAACAATTTAGTTAGTTTTTCTCAGTATTTTGTAAGTTATGGCAGAGGGTGGCTTTCAAAGATGGTGTACTAGACAGCACTTTTCTTTCCCAAATTGGAGATTAAGCCCAACAATACAAATTCAGCGAGAGCCAAGACACTGCACCCCAACAAGATAGGGTGCTGATGATCATCTGTTTTTTGATACCCTGTCCCTGTGGCAGCAGCAGCTCACAGGTCCTGCTGAATCAGAAACACAGAGGGAACCAGGAGTTGTGTGTTGGTGCTTCTCACAGCTCCACCAAAATGCTGTAGCTTCAAGCCCTGTGACATCCATGGTCTGAGAGAGATAAATGATGGCTTGATATGTTTATACTGTTACAGCAGTACCCCCAGCAACGTTGTTAGAAAGCCTTACTCACTTTTATTATGGAAAGAATACTCAATTGTGTTATATTTCCTTTGCATGATTTCTCATGTGTATGAGAATAATCGCAGGAGCAAGTGAGATAAATGTGATTAATCTTACTAATTCTTTGTTGGAATGAACAAGGTGCAGATTTCCATGTTTGTGTAAAAGTCATTGTAAAGTTTGAAAACCTGTGACAGGCATCAACTGTAAAGACTTCAAATTTAATCATAGAATGACAGAATATCCTGAATTGGAAGGGACTCTCAAGGATCATCAAAGTGTAGCTCCTGGCCCTGCACAAGACAGCCCCAAGAATCACACCATGTGCCTGAGACTATTGTCCAAATGCTTCTTGAACTCTTGGTGCTGTGACTACTTCTCTGGGGAGCCTGTCCCAGTGCCCAGCGACCCTCTGGGTGAAGAAACTTTTCCTAATATCTACCCTAAACCTTCCCTGACACAGTTTCATACCATACTTAATGTGAGGATAAGTATTATCCTTAACAAAACTACTAGCTAGATGATTCTTTCTTCATTTTTGTGATATTTAAAGCATATTTTGCTTAACCCTTAAAGCGCTGAAATAGCTTTTGCTTGTACTCTTTTGTTTGCCAGTCACGGGAAGACAAATAAAATTGTATCTACTCCTTTCTGTCTTCTGTCTCCCTAGTCTTCTAGAAATCTCAAGCAACTCTCAAGTTTCACTGGGTTCTCAATTCAAATTTTTTTGTAACTTTACATCTTCATGGGGTTCAGCCTTTGTACAATAGCCCACTTTTGGTACAATATTGACTTGGCTTTGATTTTCATCTTACAGTCCCATATATCCTTACTTCTTTTGGTTGTTTTCAAATCAGAGAAAGAGCAGTTGCCCTCAGTAGAAGTAAACATAGTCAATAAGATAGGATGGAAGAGGTAGAATATCCTTGCAGAGTATGTATGTATATGTATGGCCAGTCTTCGCGAACGAAGATTTGGGAAAGGTCTCTACCCCTTGAACCTGTGCAGTGGATTTTTTAGGTGAGACACAGTGTGCACTGAACTGAGCCCACCCTTTAATCCTAAGGTTCATCTGCTGGGGCCGAGCAAGCTTGGACAGTGGCAGTGAGGTCCTCAGGATGTAGGTTTATTTAGAGTGACCTTCTCTTAGATGGATGGCCTTACAGGGCTGACGAGCTCCATCTGCCCGGGGGAGTTTCCCTGACCGGGAATCGAACCCGGGCCGCAACGGTGAGAGTGCTGAGTAGAAGCTTGCAGAGTAGAAGCTTATCTAAAAGACCTAATTTACTTTTTTAATTATTCAAAGCACTTTTAGGTAATTTAATTAAAAACAGAGCTGGGCAAAGAGGATGCATATTGCTATCTTTGTCTTATTAATTTCTGAAGAATTTAGCCAAGTTAAACAAACTGTAGTAGAACTCAATACTCTAATTTAGGTTACTGACTCGGTGTCTGCTTCATTGAAATTGAAAGTGCCTGGCTCAGGAAAGTGAGCTAATCTACTTACAGTACAGTATACGATTACTGAAGAGACAGATTTGCCAGTAAAGATCTGCAGAGAAAGTCAATGGCATGGTCTGGCTTTGGCATCTTCCTCTGTGGTGAGGAGGATACCTTTGGGAGTTTTGAATGCTTTCTTAAATAGCATAAAGCTGCTGGAAATGTTAGGTTAGGACTCTCTGTTCATGCATGGCCTCTTCTAAGGACAGACACGTAATGAGCTAAAGGCAGTCATAGAGGTACATGATGCCTGTGTTAAAGGCACACGTGTAATGTTTAGGAAAACAGAAAGAGGAAGCTTCTTGTTTAGGCATACAGTTGCATGGAAGAAACTCATTTTGGTCGAAGCCCTCCTCTGTGTGCATATTTTAGTAGAGCACCAGTGGATAAGAACAAAACTAATCTGGCTACAGGATGTGGAAGCATTCTGTGTCCTCAGTAGTACGCCCAAAAATAGGCAGCCCTCTGTCTTTCCCCTCACTTAACTCGTGATTCATCTGGGTGCCTCCAGAAGAAGGTAGATAATCCGTGCAGAACAACTCTCTAACAGTTCCTTCAGTAAGGACAGAGCACAGGGCCCAGCTCTCTGTGTTTCAGTTCAGGCAGAGGGCATCTGGTGCCAGGGTGCCTGAACTGCAGCAGAACTGTAGCTGTTACATATGTGCCTACCCTGGCAATAGATCTCTCTCCAATGGAGATAGCATGGGCCAGGGACAGTTGCTTTTTCGCAGCTAGAATGTGACCACCTTATTTTGTGGAGTAGGAAAGCTTAGTATTGCAAATATGGGACATTGTACCTTGAGCCTCAGGGGAAGAGTGTGACTTGGAGCACACTGGGTATACCAGGAGAGAGGTAATCTTCCAGAGGAGCTATCTACAGGATTAGGCAGTCCTGAAAACTAGGTGTACATAACCATGGCCTGGGAATAAGCTTTGGTCTTTGACACCAAAATTTGGGGTTAGGCACATCGAATCTCACAATAGATCTCTAATACTTGTGAACATACTGGGGTTTTTTTGTTTCATTATCCTTCTGCGCTTTCAGGTGCACTGTTCTAGCATCCAGGTTTCTTGCTGGTCTGTTTAAGGTTTGAATGCTGTACTTATGGGCTGTTTGAGGGATGATTTGATTTTGAGGGATTCCCTAGGTTGTCATCAGTCAAGACTTTTAGAGAGGAAAAGGCTACAGACCAAGATGAGAGTAAACTAAACCAGTTGTTATAATGCCCAGCAATGCTAACTTCTGAAAAACTGTGAGGACAAAATATGAGTAAATTCATTAAATCAATTGAAAAGATACAAAACCAAAGTCAGTTAAATAATGCAGAAATTTGCATATATCGTTATCTCATTTCTTTCTTTCTGCCAACATTTTTTTTCCCAAAGTGGCAAATCCTCTCCTCCTTAATCATCTTCAAGGCTCCCTTTAACACTTCAAGAAGACAGTTGTTTACAGTCACACAGTGAGTCCATAGTAGAGCTTGGAATGGTAATTTGGTATCCATCACCTATGCTACAGTCAGAGACTACTAGGTCATGCTATTTCTTGATATTACTAGTACTGTTTTATTATACGTCTTCTCAGTCACAAAGCTGTATCAAATGTTGAACACTGATTCTTTTGCTGAGAAAGTAAATTTTTTGATACATTTTTCTGGGAAAAACCCTTTTTTGTATGGTTGTGCTTGATAACAGTAGCCCAGGCTTTTCAGAGAAACATTTACAATAATCAAAAACTATACTTAAATTAGAAAATTTTATTTAGTAGACAGTTGTATCTTTACTTAAATAAATGCTTTTAATCAAAGATACAACATTCTTCAGAAACTTTTTCCACATTAGAGAGCAATTATTTGAGTTTTAGCTTGAATCTGATTTACACAATTAAAAATTGTACAGAAAAGGTTTTCCATTGGATCTGAAGAGAAAATGTAAATGTGCAATGTGTATGTGATGTTACTTAATTTCCATGGCTATGAACCCTCAAATGTTGAGACAACAGGGAATTGTTTAGCAAAGTTTCGAATTCCCTTCACTGCTAAAGCTTCATCAAAATAAGACTATGGTTTCCAATTGTTAAATTAGATTGAATATGTATTTTCTTTTACCTGTGATAGTGTAACTGTATTAAAGATGTGATTTTGAAAAAAGGGGGTAGTTTGCTGTATACCATTATTTGTGAAATAGTGAACACTGTCTGATCATTATTTTTATTTTCACAATAAAACCTACTAAAACTGCATTTACCTTGAAACTGTTTTGTACAATGTAATTAAAAAGCTTAATATTTTGGCAACATGAGAGAGAAAAGATAACTTGAGAGTACATTCATAAATGTAACAGATACACATTATAAGACATATACATCCCCCATCGAGACAAGGTCATTTTTATGGGAATGACTTTCCTTGGGCTCCAGGAAAGCCAACATATAGTTACTGTCATTTTAAGAAACAATTTAGAAAAGGGCAATTTAGCCACCTCAGTAGGTGATATCCACAAAGAAAAGCACTGTTTGTAAGAGCTACTTATTTGGATGTGAGAGGTAGCTCATGTCCCCTTCTATAATCATTCGGTTCCATGTTTGAACATTTGAATCCATAAGGGTGGAAGTTCAGAGCAAGGACATGTAAATTCAAATGGGAGTATTTACGCAGTAGCTGCTTTTAAAATAAAACATTTTATTAAAAGTATTGTGTCTTCAGAAAATTGGACTGTATATCTGACTTTTATATTACCTGTCTATACAAAAAGAATCTGGAAGAAAGAACAAAACCATGAAATCACTTCTGGTAAGTCCTTTTTTTTAACACACTCTTTCAGTGCTGGGCAGCGAAGATAAACTATGTCTCTGATACTGTTTTTATTACAGATTTGGATTACAGATTTATTTTCAATGACCTATCAAAATTAACAAGCTCTTTACTGTTCACAGTTTATCAGGATGCCCCAGAGCTACTTCAGCAATGAAGAAAGCAAAGCTGTCTGGAGAACAAATGCTAACAATAAAGCAGCGGGCCAGTAATGGTAAATTTTTAATCATTACTTTCTTAAATACTAATTCTCTGTAAACTGAAGTTATTGTTACTCTATTGGCTTTTTTTCTACACATATAAATCCACTTTGTATAAATTGTAAATTCACTGTCAGTAGAAGTGAAACCAGGTTTTATGCTCTGGAAACCTGAGCCAGGAGTGGAGCAGTCAGACCGGCCTCAGTTATGTCTACATAAATCTGAAACTAAAATATTTCAAAGTAGCATATACCATTATAATTTTCTGGTTCACATTTCATTCATCAAAGGTGATTAGCTGGTTCAGAAGAGAAACAAGGTTTATTTCCAGAGTGTCAATTCCTCATGAGCTCCATGGTCTTCATTTGGAGCTGTGGTTCTGTAACTTCTGGGAGATGGAGATGGCCTTGTGCCATTTAAGCTCAAATAATTTTCAGAGGGAAGTGACATCCTGTTGGGGATATTCAAATTTTAGAGATGACAAAAAGACAAGGATGTCCTCAGAATCAGAGTTGAAGAAATTGTGGATGTCCCCGCCCCGGAAGTGTTCCAGACCAGGTTGGATGAGGCTCTGAGCAACCTGGTCTAGTGAAAGGTGTCCTTGCCCACATCACAGGGGTTGGAACTAGATAATCTTTAAGGTCCCTTCCAACCCAGGCCATTGTATGATTCCATGGCATCCTTCCTATGAGAGTTAGACACCGTGGAGAAGGGTGTGCAAGAGTCACAGTACTGTAAGAACAAGAGAGTGAGAATGCCAGTTTCTCTAGCTTTATGTGATCAGACTTTGACTTGAGAAAAAACAGATTTATCTTTTCCCAGGACTATTTTATATTTTGTTATAGTAATTCAAAGGATAAATAAATTAAACCCTTTCAGTTTATTCCTGTATGAATTCTTAGAAATACAGATACTTTTAAAATTCTGTTATTTTAATGTTTATGCCACAAAATATGAGAAATCACTTCCATTTTGCAAATTATTCTATATATAATTATTTAATAACACCCTTCTGAAATATGAACCGTTGTGAGCCTTCATCAACCATTAAAAACAACTGCAGAATAAAACAGTATATCCCAGTTCAGCAAAAAAAATTTCACTTCTGAATTAGTTACAGATTCTTTTGACAATGCTTTAATATGAAGAGATGAGCATAAGTTATAGTTTTTTATTTTGTCTCAGAAGATCTGTAAGTGGACACAGTCTTTAAATAAGTTACATATGACAGTAGAGTGTAATTTGTTGCTGCAGGTGCATTTCTTATAAAGTTAAATCAATGCATATAAAGTTAAAGGTCTTACTGATTCTCTAGGCATTTTCGACATTTTCACTAGAGAATTACTGCAATTTTAAAAGGAAAAGTAGTGAAAAATACTTTTTTTTAACTTCAGAATAAAAGTTTGAAGAATGTTTCCTTTTTCTTTTTTACTTGAAATAAATTTATTTACAAATATGGAAGTAATTAATTCACTGAAGTCTGATTTAAACCTTAATTATTTTAACACCCCTTTTATTTTTATGTCACACAGGTATAGAAAATGATGAAGAAATTAAACAATTAGATGAAGAAATCAAAGAACTAAATGAATCCAACTCCCAGATGGAAGCTGATATGATTAAACTCAGAACTCAGGTAACAGTTTTATGAAGCCCTAAATTCAGCTGCTTTTTCTACGTGACTGATTAAAAGAAATACAGGAAATATATTGTTTCCTTTTATGTTTCTTATATATTAAGATACCTATCTGTGATTTACTATTTATAAAATCAGAAAACAATGTTCATTTTGCAAGTTCCACATCAGTTACCAACAGTAAAAAAAAAAAGGACTTGGCAAAATACATTCTTTAAAATAATGGCAACAGCATGACCTGTTATGGTCAGCTTTGTATTTCTCCTTGATAAGGCTATGCCTTTCTAATAGTAGTTAAAATATTGTGTGACATCATGGTCATTAACATAAGTTACAAAGTGAAGGAGTCCAGGTGAACAATGTGGCTTTTGCCAGGTCTTACAGGGGAAATTTAGATCGGGAAATGAATACCTATTAGGCTTCATCATGTGATACACAAAGTGCAGCCCTTGGCAGCAGTAGTGGTTCCAGAGATCCAGCTTAATTCATTTTATGTTCCACATAAATTTGTTGGGGGGGGGGAAGGAAAGCATAAGATTAGCCTATTATTTAAAATCCCATTATTCAGCAGCCCGAAAATTGAATGGAAAAAGGAAAAGAAGGAAATTAATTTAATTATTTCCCTAGCATTTTCCAGTGTCCAACATGATTTGAGCACAGACACCAACAGTGAAATTCATCATAGTCTTTATCAATCTTTAGTCCCATGATCATAGTCGTCTCCAATTGATCTTGATGGAAACAGAGTAAACCATTCCTTGTTACTTGCCTGCTGCTTGTGAAGAATGCCATGTCCATTCTCCTCCTCCTCCTTCTCCTCTTGTATACTCATAAATAGAAGGCAGGATCTACCTCTCCAACTTGGTTTTTCTTTGACTTCTAAACTTTAGCCAAATTGATACTGAAACCTCACTTCTACTTGATGCCTGTATTCAGGGTTCTGTTGTCTTTATGCAGCCCTCATAGGATTTGACTTACAGTTTTATGAGTTTTTCTGATGTGCCCAAATGCAGCTATAGGGTAATGAGGACAAAATCTGCAAGAATGTAAAGCAAGAAGAATAATCAATGGCAGAAAAATTACTCTGGGGAAATCTGATCATAAGTTTTAAACCTGGCAGCCTTCCAATTGCCTTATGTTTTAATTTGCTTAATACACTGTAGATGCTATTCACATACAGACTAATGTAGCTTTTAGCTCAAGCAGGGTACCATGCAAGGTCAGAGCTAATGTGTCTGGTCACCTGGGAACACAGCAGAGCACACTCTCAGTTATCTTCACCTGTACATGTAGTTATGCCACAGGGCTATGTGCAAATATTTTTCAGTTGGTTCAGTTTTACAAGTCACTGTATGTATTGAAAACCTTTATGAATTTGTACATACAATGCAATAACATGCAGCTGTTCAACTTTCAAAAGCAGCCCTGTGAATTTGCACAGAATCAAATTATACTTACAAAGAGCTAAACACTGGTACCAAAGAGCTGTGCAAGCTTAATTAATTATAAATATATATCTGAAAATATAAGAAAAGCATGACTTACTGCAGAATGTCCCTAAGATTGGCTCCTAGGAGTTTAACTGCATGGGTGAACTTGCAGAACTAAGGTCCTTCTTAAAGCCTTTCAATTGTACAAAAAAAGCTCTAAAGGAGTGGATTCAAATCCAAGTTAATTCACTCACTATTACCAGTATTAAAAGACAAGCTGTTAAAGTTATGCAACACAGAGTCGGAACAACGAGCCTTAACAACGATAAGAATTGCAGACTCAAGCAGAACTTTTCTAAGCATGAATGAATAGACGTTTTCTCCTTGCCTGGTATTTCTGTTATCTCTCCCTTCAGAGAGTGCATGCTTTATCCTGGCTTGCCTTATATTACATTGTACACAAATTTGTCCATTTTAGATTACCACAATGGAGAGCAACCTGAAGACAATAGAAGAGGAGAACAAAGTAATTGAACAACAAAATGAGTCTCTTCTTCATGAATTGGCCAATTTAAGCCAGTCTTTAATTCATAGTCTAGCTAATATCCAGCTGCCACATATGGTAAGTGATTGAGAGCACAAGTTAAGGAATTTGGAGATCTTCAGTTCACTTCATACAATAGATACCTTTTTTTATGTTTATGTTTCATCAACCAGTTGGATATTTGTGGTAACAGCACTGAAACCATAGAGATACATTTAACTGCTAAGAGACATGGAGGGCCTGTTCCAGTGTGTCCTGTAAAATTAAGTAAGAACTAAATAGGCATTTTAAATATTATAAAAAATGGTGGCAATATGCCTTGCTGATATGTTATGCTTAAATGAATATACGATTAAGAAAATAAAAGTTGTATATGAACTACTATTTAATATCTCGTAGGAACCAATCAATGAACAAAATTTTGATGCTTACGTGACCACTTTGACGGACATGTATACAAATCAAGATCGTTATCAGAGTCCAGAAAATAAAGCCCTACTGGAAAATATAAAGCAGGCTGTGAGAGGAATTCAGGTCTGAACAGCTGCTATAGTGATGAAAATCTTGCTTAAAAAAAGGATGCCTCTTGTTTTTTGCTGCTGTAATTTACCAGAAAGTGTTATATATTTATTTCTGTTTGAAACAGTGTTATGCTTACAAGACTTCATAATGATTTTATGTCTTGCTTTAAAGATAGTAACTGCAGAATAGTTTTTTGAATACATTCACATTTTGTACGTTTTCATATAAGCTGACATAGTGTGATATGCCATGTAATGTTTATAGCTGCTAATGTATGCACATTTTTGGGGTATATATATTTCTGAAGAGGTAAGCTGATCAAAATAAATAGAGTGTAAATTCTTTTTAATGCTTTAGTGATTAAATGTTTTAGTATTTTGAACTGAAATGGACAAAAAAAAAAAACAGCTTTGAATGACAATGTTGCGGTCTGCGGCCACTTTTTAAACACTAT